TGTTGGCAGCTCAGTGACAGCTCAGCTTGGGTCAGGCATTGAACCGCTGTTGCTCAGAGCTCAAACTCTTGAGCGAGCTCTTAACCAACTGAGCCACTTGGCTGGCCCCACATCTAATTTTGATTTCTGCTCTGCAACTTGTTTAATGAGTTTGTCAAATTGAATCTTTCCTGACACACCCCCTAAGGAAGAGTCCAGTTTAAAATACATTTTTTTTAACAGTCCTGGTAACTGTTTTTGTTGCTGCTAATAAAAACCTGGAACATTCCTGCACTAGTTGTTGTTGCTTTTCCAATGTCTGATTTGGGGACCTAGCAAGGACGGAGTCAGTCCTGTTTTCTGGAATCTAGGTCTGGGTCTGCTGCTTGACCTGCTTTATGACCCTGAACTTTTCCTTGCCATATCCTATCCTTGGTTTCCTCAGCTGTAAAATGAGCAGATTGGTCTAGATCAAGGGTCATCAAACTTTTTCTGTAAAGGACCACATAGTAAACATTAACTTCGCAGGCGATATAGCTGTGTCACAGCTACCCAACTCTATTATTGTGGTGTGAAAACAGCCATAGACAGTGCGTAAGTGAATGGGCATGGCTGCGTTCCAATGAAGCTTTATTTACAAAAACAGGAAGTGGGTGAGATTTGGCCTGTGGGTCATAGTTGCTGACCCCTGGACTAAGGGTGTTTCCATCTCTCAGTCTTTTTCTATTTAGGGGAGCGAAAGGGACAAACATCCACCTAGTGCCCATATTGCCAGGCACTCACTGGGGGCCTCATCGAGGTCACTTGGAATCCTCATAGCACTTGAGTCAGCTAGGTGATAAGGGAAAACGGAAACTCAGGGAACTTGTGTAGTTTGCTCACTCTCTTCCTTTTGAGCCCTTTTGGGCCTCCTCTACTCAAGCCTCAACTCCTTCTTATGTTAGATTAGAAAAGATTCTTAGTGATGCCAACCTTCTATGTTGTTACAAGGATGGAATTGAAGAAGTCCCTTAGAGCAGTCCTGGCAGACAGAGCGGCCAAGGAGAGACTGGGAACAGAGGCACATGTGGAGTGCTGGGGAACTGAGGGAAGCCAGTGACAAGGACAGCAGAAAGGAGGGAGAGTGGTACAGGATGAGGCCCAGGGTCCGGGCCATGATGCAATCTAGTGAAAGTTTTCAAAGAATCATTTTGGCTTCTGTGTAGAGAATCAAGCCCAGGATTGTCTTTACAGAATTTCTTGTTTTACATGAGGGTGACCCATTCCTTCATCTATAAAAAGGGTGGATGGGAAGTTCTCTCCATGATCATAATGCTTGACTGTGAGTGGGGAGGAAAGGGTGAGGAGGCAACATGGAAACCACAAGAGACCTGGATCTGCCCACTCTGAGACCTAGCTCAGTGCCCTCCCAGCCTTGTGACCTTGGGCGTTCACATAGATTCTCTCGCTTCAAGTTTCTCATCTGCCAAATGTCACTTCTCATCCCCTCGCTGCATCTCTGGGTTGCTCTGACTATCCAGTAGGATCATGTTTGTGAGAGCGCTCTACAAATATAAAATGGGAGTTCATACCATGTTATCATTACTATTATTATTATCACTGGCTTATCTTCTACTACTGGGCTTGCTCCTTGGGGCTGTGAATGTATTGGAAGGGCTATGAGACCCTCTTTTCTTAATCCTCCTTGTGTTAAGAGTTGAATTGCTTTGGGCCTGAGCCACTGTGGGAATGGAAAACTCATCCCATGAATAATCTCAGATTCCATGGCTCTGGCTGAAGGCTGTGGGCAGAAGATGAAGACTGTGGGGCTGAGTAGGGAGAGGTGAAGAGGAAGAGGGAACCAGGCCTGGAATGTGAATGGAATGGGTCTGCATTGGGGAGGCGGGGAGGTAAGACGGTTATTTGCCCTGCAGGTGAGTTTGGGGGAATCTACTCAAACAGATCATGGGTGGGGCTTTTTATTTGCAGGGCTTGTGGAATGTTCCAGGCTTTGGAGGAGACAGATCTGGGTTCAAGTTCTGGATGTAGGTCTTACTAACTGAGGAATTTAGACCATAAAGACAAAAGCAGATTAAAAATAAGAGGCTTCGCTCTCCCTGTTGAAGTAAAGGAAGAGATACCGTTTCCCTCCTTTTTTTTCTAGAGCAGTTAGTTTAGAAACCTGCAAGTACTTTTTCCTCTCTTTGCAATGTGTATAAATCTTTTTGAAGACCAGATAGACCTTTTTTTCCCTGAATGACCTGGGAGCCATCTCTTTGAAATGTGAGGGGCATCCTGACACTGTGGAGGGGAGCGCTGAGCAGGGTGTCAGATGGCCTGGTTTCCAGCTGGATAACCTTAATTACCAGGCCTTGTGACTTCCAATGGTCTGTGTTGTCTGATAGGCCACGGAGTCATGGCCTGGATCTCGGGTATACGATTCAGGCCACTGGTGCCTTCCTTTCCCCCTCCAGAAGCCCTTCCCTGAACCCGCGCTACTCTCAAGGCCGGGCTAGGAGAACATCTACAACTTCACAGTATGTAGCCTATTTCCTTGTCACTCATCAGACTTGGAGCTCCCTGAGGCCTAGATCAAGTTTCCTCTGGTAGTTGTCTGGTGCCTGGCATAGAGTGACAGTCATATCGCAATAACTGTGTGAGTATAGCTCTCCCTATTCCCGAGGTACAAACTGTTCCCACATGCCTTTTTAGTGCTGAAGTACTGATATTAGCTGATATGCTCTTTTGGTAGAAAAGAAAACGGCCTCAGAGCAATGAGCCACATGCGTATTTTCACATGGCCAGAGGTGGCTGAGCTGGGATGCAAAGTTCAGGTTTTAAGAGCCATGCCATTTCACCGCTCTGTCCACCCAAGCTTTGCTTGGTGACCCAGTTTTCCCTTCTTGAATCCCGTCCTTTTCAGTCTCCTCTGAGCTGGTTGTTGTCCATTAGCCCCTCTGGAATCACGCTCGGCCCTTCTTGGCCCTGCACCGTGCCCTGCGACGATGACCTCAGGGCACCCTTCCCCGGTGGAGTGCAGTGACCCGAGTTTTCGCTCCTCCTCCCTGCTCCCGCCCTGCTATTTTGGCAGACTGCCAGCCTTCCTCTATTCAGCCCACAGCTCCTACAGGCAGGCCCCTCCTTCGTTGTAGGTGTCCTTGTATTCCTCTAAATCTCCTTCCTTTTACCCCTTTAGATCAAGGGTTGGGGACCAGCCTCCCACTGTTGCAAACCCCAAGATGTGTCCAGGACCTGAAGTTTCCTTTAAGCTGTTTGCATCTCAGCAGATAGATCTTCCTTTGAACCCATTTTAAATTCTTTAAATGTTCTTCTTTAAACTCTCCTCTGTGAACTGGGCCAGCTGTTTCTTTTCAAGACCTCATTGCTGCATGTGTCTCAGCCTCACCCCCATTTCTCTTTCCCTTTTTTCTGACGCACTAAAAAGGGACATCTCCTGGTCAAACCAGAGCTCCAAATGGCCTCGCATGTCCACTCTCCAGGGAGAGTGGTTTAAGTACAACCAAATGACATTTTAGCTTTTTTCATCTCTTGAATGCTTACAGAAGAGCAGGCACTCAGCGCCTGCCCTCACAGGCTCCTGCCTAGTGACAGCTGTGTCTCAAACTCCCCTCCTGACTGGGCACATTGCTGGCCCGCTCTGGACCATGAGGGTCTCATAGATCAGCAAAGGTGTCTCTGGCTCCTGCAGACGGTGAGGGAGGGGGATGACCTCATACCCCATTTTGGGCAGAGGGAGTGTTTCCCTTCAGAACCAGGTTAATGGAGTCACTCAATGCCTCATCAAAAACAATGGTCTCCTTCTGGCTAATGAGGGACTGGGTCCCAGAGCGCCGCCTGGGCGCTGGAGTTTGGCTCCCTAGGAAACAGCACCATGGTGGTCTCGGGGGTCACAGCCTGACCTCTCATGCCTGCAGCAATCCTCTGCAGCATTTCCTGGCACTCGGCATATTTCTACACTTTCTGAGCACTGGCATGTGGCCATGGGTGCTGCTGCCTGAACCATGCACAGTCTGTTTGCTGTCCCTGATGGGGTGGTGAGAGGTACACACTAGCCACGGCTTGCTTACCCTGTCTCTGCTTTGCCAATGTTGCTTAGAAGCCAGGTTTGCAATTTAACCAACTGAAAACCCTGTTTTTTCCTCTGGAATTTCATACTTTGGACTGAAGGTAAATCAGTCATCAACAGATTACGCAAGAGCAGTTTTTAAAAGGGGTATTACTTGAATGGCAATTTTTTAGGCTTTAAGGTTTTTGTTTTTGATATTTCTAGTCCAGAATTATGTTTTTGCCTTGACACCTGTACCCCCTCATTTTTTCTCCCTAGACTACATATATATATATATATATATACTTTTTTTTTTTTTGCTAAACTTCTCCCAACCTTCCCTAACCTCCTACTCCCCAGAAAGACCATATGACAGGTGTTTCATTCTTGAGCACTAAAAAAGAATTCTTTTAAACCTAAGAAAGGGGGTTGATTAAATAAATTATAGCACATAGATTTACAGGAATATAATACAACCACCTATATCCTCATGCTGCTGTTAATTTATTAATAATAAATTCAATGATAATATATTGGGACACTCAAATAATTCCATCTTAATATAAATATGAAATTATGTACCCCCAAATTTTAGAGTGATTACCTCCACAGGGTTATGGGTAATAATTATCTTCTTTTCCATATCTGTGTTTTCTAACTTTTTTCAATGACCATGTGTTAATTATATAATTTAAAATTGTTTTTTTTTTTAAAGTAAAGTTTCCGAATTATCAGTGCACTGTGATTTTAATTATGTAAAAATGTGTGGCTTGAAGTTGTTCCCATGTAAACATAAACAGGGACAATTTATTCTCTGGAAATATTGAGAACAAAAACCAAATTGCGCCTCTCCGCCCCTCATATTCCACATTTCATTTGCATGTTAGAGCAAGGAGCTCTGTCCAGGGCTGCATAGCAGCCAGACACCCACAGCAGGTCCACCAATCCCCCAAAGGCAGTGTGAAGTCTTGCTTACCTGGAACGCACAGGGCTCTCCTTGGGTCCGGAGCTGGCCAATGAGTAGGTAGGTGGTGAGTCCTGCCAGGATGGGGAGCAACACCAGGCAGCAGGTGAGAGCCCAGTGGGTGCAGCTGCTCCTGGCTGCTTGCTGGGCTCTGGCCTTGGGCCTGTAATTGTCGTCCGCTGGCAGCATTTCCAGGCTGGCTGTTTCCCCAAAGCCCCGCCCCAGGTCCTCTGCCATGCTCCTGCTGGTCCTGGAGACAGCTCTGACTCCTCCTGGGCAGAGAGACCCCCCATTAAATAGACCAGCTCTCACAGTGGGTGAATTAATCTGCCTACTCCTCCCCCTGGCCTCTCTTTCTCTCCCCTCCACAACACACTGCACCCCGCCCTGCTAGGGAATGCACCGCCTACAACAGAAACTAAGTTTGGTTTAAGAAAAAAAAAAAAAAAGAAGAAGAAAGCTTCCCAAACATATTTATGTACAGTGTGCTCATGTGCTCCTTCCTTCATTTACAGAAGGAAGTCAGGAAAGTCCCTGCAGGAGGAGAAAAATAATTCATCAAGTCAGTGGGTGGGGCAAATTAAAATATACCTGTTTCTGCACTGGAGGCCTGCCAGCTATGCCGTCTGGGGAGTGTGCTTCTGCTGGAAGTGAAAGTGAGGGACAGGGAGGTGTGTGGTGTGGCTTGCAGACTGGGAAATGGAAATCAGCTTTACATCACCACTTTGCAAAGTCCTGCCAACCCCCCCCCCCCCCCATCTTTTTTTTGAACCTTGTAGGAGCCCATTCCCAGTGCACAGATGGGAATACCAAAGCTCTGGAAGGTAAAGGCACGTGTCCTAGGTCATCCAGGGTTTAAGACGGAGGAGCTAGGAAGATGCTCTAGTTCTTCTAAATCATGGTTTAGAATCATTGTTTAGGGTTTTTGCCTCTCCCACAAAACTACATGTGAAAGGAAAGAGTATTTCTAGTCTATGTTGCTATGTTGACTAATTGTCTAAGCAGAGTATGAGGTCATAGTCTGTGAGGAGAGGACATTGACTTCTACTCTCCGATGAGTCCAAAGTTTATTGAGTGCCAGTGAGAGGCCTTGCCCATACAGTTGGGTGTGTGTGGGGGAGCCACAATATGTAACAAAATCTAACATTTATTAAACATTTGCTTTGTGCTAGCTGCTGTTCAAAGTGAGTTCAATGTATCAATGAAATTATTTAATCCTGAGATAAACTTTTGACTTAGTAGTAATGTTATTATTCACACTTGACAGTTAAGGAAATTGGAGCTTAGAGAGTAAACAGTAAAGCCAGGATTGAGACTTGGGCAGGCTCTCTCCACAGCTCCTAACCATTACACTACACTGTACCGGCTGCTGTATAGTGCACGAACACAGACAGACACCTGTACCAGTTCTGCCCAGCAGGCGGTCGTCTCTTCCAGTTAGGGGCTGGGGAGTCTTCCTGGACAAAGAGGTGGTGTTGGAGGTAGATCTTGAAACTTAGGGAGGGTGATATTGGAGATGCATAGAGGACCCTGCAAACAGATGGGTTACAGAAAGAAAAAAGCTTAAGGATGTCCTGTGGCATTTGGTGGAAATCATTCTGACTAGCACCTCCATTCAATTATTTCTCCTGCTTATATCACAGCCTAAACCCTTCAGGCTACTTGGAAAGGCCTTTTATAATCTGGTCTCTGCCCAAGCTGTAGTCCCCACTCCCCCCGAATGCACTATGGACTAGCCGCTCTGTTGTCCATGCTATTTCCTCCACTGTGAAAGCTTCCAGTCCTTTCCCTTCATAGCACCATACTCTCTTATTTTTTAATTTCATGTAGAAAAATTTTCTGCAGCTTCCTGTCTCTAAGATTGGGTGAGATGGTCATCTATGTTCTAATAGCTTCCCATTCTTCTCCTATCATTGAATATTTCATGCTAAACTGTGATTGACTATTTTTCCATCGCCCCCATTAAACCATTAGATCTAAGAGGCAGATATTAGGTTACATCCCTTCCCTGGGGCTGTGGCACCTAACATAGTGACTGTCACATAATAGACTCTTAACCAATATCTATTGAAATAAGCATCTAACATATTTTAAAAGAATCCCAGCAAAGGATAATTTTTATGTCCCTTGGTTACCCATTCTTTGTTAAACTAGTAAGAAACTTTTCCACTAGAGTGCTATCTGTCACCATACACCAAAATGAACTCAAAGTGGGTCAAAGACCTAAACATAAGACCTAAAACAATAAATTGCATAGAAGAACGCATAGGTACTAAACTTATGGACCTTGGGTTCAGAGAGGATTTTATGAATTTGACCTTAAAGGCAAGGGAAGTAAAAGCAAAAATAAATGAATGGGACTATCTCAAGCTAAAAAGCTTCTGCGCAGCAAAAGAAACAATCAACAAAAAGGCAACCAACTGAATGGGAGAAGATATTTGCAAACAACACCTCCGATAAGGGGCTAATATCCAAAATATATAAAGAACTCATACAACTCAACAACAACAACAACAACAAAATCCAATTAGAAAATGGGCAGAGAACCTGAATAGACTCTTCTCCCAAGAAGAAAAACAAACGGCCAACAGATATATGAAAAAGATGCTCAACTTCACTAGCTATTAGGGAAATGCAAATCAAAACCACAATGAGATACAACCTCACACCTGTTAGGATGGTTATCATCAACAAGACAATTATTAACAAGTGTTGGAGAGGTCGTGGAGAAAAAAGGAACCCTCATACACTGCTGGTGTGAGTGTGAATTGGCAAAGTCACTATGGAAAACAGTATGGAGTGTCCTCAAAAAATTAAGAATAGAATTATGATCCAGCAATCCCTCTTCTGGATATCTACTCAAAAAGTCTGAAAACATTTATGTATAAAGATATATGTACCCCTATGTTCACTGCAGCATTATTCACAGTGACCAAGACGTGGAAACAACTAATGTGTACCTTGATAGATGATTGGATAAAGAAGATGTGGTACATATATACAACGGAATATTACTTGACCATAAGAAAAGATGAAATACTGCCATTTGCGACAACATGGATGGATCTTGAGATTATCATGCTAAGCGAAATAAGTCAGGCAGAAGAAATTGGGAACCATATGACTTCACTCATATGTGGGATATAAAACTGAAAGCAACAAATGAACAAGAAAAACAAACAAACAAACAAAAACTCATAAACACAGACAACAGTTTAGTGGTCACCAGAGGGTAAGGGAGAAGAGGGGGTGGTAGAAGAGGGAAAAGGGTGTCAAATATATAGTGATGGAAAGAGAGCTGACACTGGGTGGTGAACACACAATGCAATATATAGATGATGTATTGTAGAACTGTATATTTGAAACTTACATAATTTTTACTAATCAATGTCACCCCAATAAATCTAATAAAATTGTTTTTTAAAAAGAAACTTTTCCGTGAGACTAACCTAAATATTTGCTGTTGTAGCTTTTAAATACATAATCACACTTAATATCTGATCATCCTGAAAGGATTTACCAATGTGCTCTTACCTTTGTACTTCTTTTTTAGAAAGTTGGTGTGCTTGATCAGACCAGTTTTAAAAGTGATAAGTGTAAGGGCTCAAATGAAGAGTTACGTACCATCATCTATAATATAAAAAGGTCTCGAAAGATAGAGAATACTAAAAACACCATGTTGGGGACCTGGAGACCTGGGGTTTAGTCCTTCTCTTGTGTGAGCTTGAGAACTCTGGTAACCGATTCCCATTCTAATGTATATGCTACTGCCAAACCTGATAACTAAGCTTGCGATAATTCTGTTTAAGTAATGGATTCTGAGTTTGTGCCTGGGGAATGTCCCTTGGGAAGGGAATAAGAATTTTAGGTCATGGACCTATAGACATGTATTTGAGAAAACTGTAGGTGTACATTTACTTGGAGTGTTAAGAAATAATAGATTACTCAGGTTTCCCCAAAGGTGACATATTCAATAAGTATAGTATAGTATCACAACCAAGAAATTGACTTTGACCTTGATATTCAGGTTCTACCAGTTTTATATTTGTATATGTATTTTATTATTTATGTAATATATATTATTAAATATACATATCTGTATATGTATATTTATATTGTGTATGTGTATTTAGTTCTGTGCAATTTATCACATGTGTGGCCATGACCACAGTCACAATACAGAAAAGCTCCATCACATGGGTCCCTTACGTGACATTTTATAGTCACAGCAACTACCCTCAATCTCCTCCTCCCTTAACCCTTGGCAACCAGTGATCTGCTCTCTGAATCAATAATTGTGTTATTTTACAAATGTTATATAAATGGAATCATGCAGTCTGCATCCTTTTGAGATTGGCTTTTTTCACTCAGCATAATTTCCTAGAGGTTCATCCAAATTATTGCATCGCTAATAGTTCATTTCCTTTGATTGCTGAATGGTATAGTCCATGGTATTGATGTACTACAGTTTGCTTAACCAGTCACCCATTGAAGGACATTTGGGTTACTTCCTGTTCTGAGTTCTTATGAATAAAGCTTTTATGAATATTGGTATACAGGTTTTTGTGTGAACTTGTCTTCATTTCTTTGGTGTAAAAGCCCAAGAGTGAAATTGCTGGGTCATATGTAGGATATGTAGGCACCTGTTTATTTTTGTAATCATCATACTCTTTTCCAGGTGGTTGTACCTTTTCTCTAGCATTTAGTGTTATTACTAATTTTTAAATCTATTTTAACCATTTTGTAGGTACATAGTGATATCTCACTGTGGCTTTAATTTGCATTTGTCTAATGGCTAACAATGTTGAACATCATTTTTTTTAAAGTTTTTATTAAAAATATAACTAACATACAATATTATATGAGTTTCAGGGGTACATCGTAGTTATTCAACATTTATATATATATACCTAAAGAAGTGATCACTGTGATAAGTCCAAAAACCATCTGACACTGTACCACGCTATCAAAATATTATTGACTATATTCCCTATGCCGTATATTACATCTCCGTGACTTATTTGTTCTATACCTGGAAATTTGGACCTCTTTTCCCCCTTCAACTTAGCCCCACTTTTTAAGTATTTTTATTACAGTTGGCACTCAATATTATTTTATATTAATTTCAGGTGTATAGCATAGTGGTTAGACATTTATATGATTTAAGAAGTTATCCCCTGATTAGTCTAGTACCCACCTAGCACTATGCATAGCTTTTACCATATCATTGACTATATTCCCTGTGCTTTACTTTACATCCCCATGACTATTTTGTGACTACCAATTTGTAGTTCTTAATCCCTTCACCTTTTTCAGCCTCCCATCTATCACCCCAACAAATCTAGTACCCATCTGATACCATACATAGTTATTACAATATTATTGACTATATTCTTTATGCTATACCCAACATCCCCATGATTACTGTGTAACA